ATTTTTTTTTGTTTCCCCCCATAAAAAAAAAAAAAATCTATTTAAAAAAAAAAAAAAAAAAAAAAAAAAGGTATTGGCTAAAATCACATAAAATGGAGTGTCTATGCATTCTTAAAAATCTTAAATTCATGTATCTAAACTTAAAGCTTTAAAATGTCTTAAAACCATAGGAAATTGTGAAAGTCGACCTTAAATACATTAAACACAGGTCTTAAATTTTGTGGCATGGCATGTATTTTTTCTGCGGGACTTTTCTGTCAGGCAAAAGTTTGACTCTAACAGACGTCTTCATTATGTTCTAAGACTCGAGACAGTTGAGGCTACCACTAACTATCTGCTAATATACCTTAGCTACCTAGCTTGCTAGCTTTTTTGTGTCTATTTAAGTGTAAGTTATCGCCAGCTGGCTGGACAATGTTCGTCTTTGCCACCTGCTTACTTGTGTTGCCAATCCATACAACGCTACCTACATTCTGTGCAAAAAAGCTTGGCATTCTTATATAAAGTAACCTTTTTTTTTTGGTATATTTCTGTCGTGATATAGGTCTTTAAAAAGGTCTTAAATCTGAGTTGGTGAAACCCATTCTGTAAAACAAAATCAAAGTTGACTTTTTTTAATGTTTCTACATAAAGGACAGTGACTGGCTGTTCTTTATTTACTATCGCATGACTGCGCCATCAAACCTGCTCTGTTTTTTCTCTTTTAACCAGCAAATTCATCTCGTTTTGTCCGACAGATTCACAACTACAGCGGCCCGCTCCGGGTCCGCATCTCTCTGGTGACAAAGAACCCCCCGCACAAGCCCCACCCCCACGAACTGGTTGGGAAAGACTGCAAACATGGCTACTATGAGGCCGATCTGCAGGAGAGACGAATCCACAGGTGGGCTTGTCGATCCTTAAATTCGGTTTACAGAATGAATCCTGCATGTTTCTGGTCCTCACAGTGCAACTTAAGCAGCTGTGCAGATAAGTGATAGTTTTCAAAGTAAATTCAAAGAGCTTGACGACAAGTAAAGGACAGGAAAAACAAGATAGAGATTGTTTTGATAAGTGACTGCAGCTCTCAGTCTTTGACTAAAATGACCTACATTCTGTTTCTTGCATGTTAGAGATGCACTTCATCCAAATCTTCCCTTTATCTACCTCAGAAATTTCATCGGTAAAGCTACCAGCTCCACCTTCTGTGTGGACTTGAGTAAAACATTAACTGGACCCATTAGGAACTGTTGGACTTCCTCTTCAGGGTCTGATATCCCGACTAAAATGGTCTTTTACTGGAAAGGGTCTTGTCGAAAAAGGAAGCGGCGTGCTCTCAGGTGTTCTTTACGATCAAAAACTTAAAAAGGCGAGTCAATTAAAGTTTGACTGTTTGACGCCAACGCCTTGTGTTACATAACCAAACCGGTCTTCCTGGTGAGACTGAAATATGTCAGTGTGGTCTAAAACAGGAGTGATGAAATCCTAACAAACAGCATGTACTGCAGGTGGTTTGAGTTAATCCACTGGGTGTATTAGTCATCTAATTAAAAAAAGCTTTATACAAGGGCTTTATAAGTTTGCCTAATTAAAATGATTATAGGAACCTGAAGATGAAGGAAGTCTTTTGTTTTTTTTAAGCTTATTGTGTCCCTACCAAAATGACTGAAAACAATTATTTTATATCTAACTATATACTGGGGGGGTGGGATCCTTCCAGAAGATAAAAAATGTGAAATTTAAGAAATATTATTCATGTTTAAATTATAAAATACAAAAGTAGAGCCAAACAATTCTAAGACATAGTTCCTGCTTGTTGCAGTTTGAAAATGTAATTTTCATTCAACTAAAACGTTTGTTTCTGATTGGAATTGACAGTTTTCTCCCAAAAGATAAGGCAGTGAACAAGGAGTATTATGTTTGAAAAACAGAAAACGGCGTAATATCAGAAATGATGTATACTCTCGGTCATTAATGGAAATTAGGGGTACACTGGTAAGTGTATCATTTATTATTTATCGTGATACATTTTCTATCATAAGAACTTTCATTTATTGTTCCCACAATAAATTCCAATTCATGATATTTAAAGTCGCCTCAACTGTCCTTTTGTCCAGATTGTTAGTTTTACTATCTTCTCCACTGATAGTTCAATAAATCTAAAAATACAGTGTCTATGTAGAGGTTAGTGGTACAATTCACACTTCTTTATGTGACCTTTGTCCTAAAGAAGCATAGAACAAATGAAAATGTTTTTCCAAAAGCAGTATTTATGTTTGTGGGGTAATAATGGCTCTGACACAGAGTCCCAATCTGACAGTTACCTAAAAGAGAAGTCATATTTTGTTATTGTCATTCCTTTTTTTTTCTCTATAACAATAGTGAATTAATTGTGATTAAAAAAATGCAATAAAATTCTGCTTACTAAAATTATATTTGGCTAGGAAGTTGGACTTTATAGTTTTTGTTTTTTTAATCCCGACACATTTAAGTCATAGAGATCAACATGCCACAATGTAACTGAAATATTGCAATTTCCTGCCTTAAAGATGATGACTCCAGTTGGATTTCTGTGCTTTTTACAGAAATGTTTGTTTTTCTCCTAATATAGTGTTCGATTTAAGACAATGCAAATAATAAAGATTTCTCTGCTGTCCAAGGAGTGCAAATATAGAGTACATTTAAAAAAAAAGCTTAAAAATTGATTGAAAAAAAATCCAAACCAAATCAGCATACAAAGTATTATAATTTAAGCAAAAAAAAAATAATTCCCTTAAAATAAATAAATGCCATTATGAAAAGTTGTGTTGCGTAGATTAGGTTTTTGATTTTTGCAGCCATGTTTACTGTAATTAAATGAACAGAATGTCATAATTCTGACAAACCTTCTAAAAAGTCTTAAAGTATTGTTCTGCTCGCCGTTGTTCCCCAGAAGGGAAATATTAAGGGGAGATTCTTGCAAAAAAAAATGTAAAACTGTAAATAAATAAAGCCAAAAGAAAATTAAAAAAAAAAAAAAACTATGTTAACGATATCTGTAATTATCCAGATCAATTCCCAATCAGTCAAAACATGGAGCTCTGGCCTCCCATAAATAAAACTTGGTGTATTTGCCCTTTAGTTTTCAGAACCTGGGCATTCAGTGTGTGAAGAAGAAGGATGTCAACGAGGCCATCACTTGCAGACTGCAGACCAGCAACAACCCCTTCAGCAGTAAGTGTCAATGGTTTTCTACTTTTAAGTTGCTGCATTCTCTTCTTGGCACCCAAATAGACTGATGACAATGATACCGATGAAATTTGAAATGCAAATCAGAATTATAACACCTTTAGCAGGACGTTTTACTGGGACAAACCCTGTTAAGACGCCAATTTTTCAGTTGTTTTTTTTTTTTTCTCCCAAGTGTTCCACCTTCTCTTGACAGGATGCAGTGCTTAGTCAGACTGCCGCGCTGTGTGATTACACTCCCCACCCTTTTCCTTTCTCTGTTTTGATTGCAGTTCCTGAGCCCAAGGTGTGGGAGGAAGAGTTTGACCTGAATTCTGTGCGACTTTGCTTCCAGGCCTCCATCACCCTTCCCACGGGGGACATGTTTCCTCTGCCGCCTGTCGTCTCACAGCCTATCTTTGACAACAGTGAGTTGGAAACACTGCACTCAACTGCTGGTGTGCCACTATTTGCTGATTAAAGCAAAACAAAAAGAGAAAACGGGAAAATTAAAATTTATTAAGAGCTTATTTACTTAGATGGAAAAGTTGCTTTTGTGCAAAAGTGGGGAAATGCTTAGGCCTAAACCTATGGTATGCAAAGTTAAAATAATGGTAAATTAATTCTAAACTCTCAACATCTATCATTTCACTAAGTCTCACTTGCCTAATTTCAATGGATAAAGGGATAATTTGTGATGCTAGTTCAGAAATATTGGCAAGGATATTTTTTTATTCATTAAACCTTCCAAATTTTACTTTTAGAAGAAGAAAAGATGAGAAAGCACAGTAATTTTTGCCAACATATTGATCACCTTCTATAACTGGACTTCAAGTTGGCTGAGGCAGCGATGTAGTTGAGGTATGAAATACTGCCACCTGCAGGTGGGAGTTAGTGGTCATTTGAACCAAATTGCAATAAACTCAGAATTACGCATTAGCGCAGAAAAAAAACAACAAAAACAACTTGGAAATCTGTTGATTTTGCATGAATTTCCATGAAAATGGAGGGACTGATTAGCAATGCTAGTAGCTACCACACCGCAATTCAAATCACTTCAGAAGTATTGGAGACAGCCTGTGACTGGTTGACGGGTTAAAGGGTTTTGGTTGGCCAACAACCAAAAATTTAGAACCTAGTCACTGGAATGGACCAGTTTGATCAATTGGAAGGGAACTCAAAATTTATACATTTAAGCCGTAGAACTGCTGCTGGTGAGAGAGAGCAAGACTTTGAGCGAATAACAGGAAGGCTGAACAAAGCACGTGGAAGTTGCTCTGTTTTGAAACATTCCGGATTTGGAAATGTTGGCATCCTTGTGGAAAACGGTGGCATCAAGAAAATAAATATACCCAGAAATCACCAGCCATGCTAACAATGCTAATTACTAGTGTAAGTGCTAACACTTGGTTAAAGTGTCAACCAGTTACATTTACTCAAGTAGCTTTTTGGGAAAAATTATATTTTTAGGAGTATTTTCACTGTGCTGTACTTTTTACTTCAGTAACTTTATTATAAAGTATTGCCATTCTTACTTGAGTAAAATTTCTGTTTATGCTACCCACTGAGAGTAACTTCACTGAATAAAGAACAAGCTTTGTTTTGACCAAAAATTCACCAGACACACAACTTTTGTCAGTGATTCATTAGCTTTATAATGAAAGAAACTGATGCGGAAAAAACTCACCTCTGCAACTTGGTAATATAAAAACCTTGTTTTACAGTGACTGCTTTACATTAACTGTGTTCGGATATCGACTTCACCCCCAATCTAAATAATTAAGAAGGCAAAAAATATATTTTAAGTACCAGAAAACGGTTCTTAAAAGTAACTTGCAATCAGCTTCAGTCAGCATAAATGATGTTAAATTAATGAATCGATTTAAGACTATTGATGACACTCTTCAATGCCTTTATTTACTTTTGTTTCAGTGGATAAATTAGATTTTATTCCGATGGAATTTAATCTGAGTGAGGGTAGGGTAGAGTTTGTCTGTCAAATGAATTTAGGGCAAACCTTTGAAATTCTCTCTTAGGGTGAAGTGTTTCCTCTCAGCTTCAGTATAAACGACAAGGTACAGCATTGTGAGCAGCTTATTGCTAATGTTTTCTGATGGTGATGGTAATTTAACGAGAAAATGGGCATTTATTACAAATTCGACTTATCGTGGTGCCTTCCTGCAGCCTCAGACACTCTTTGTTCCTCTTTGCTTACCGACTTTTCTCATCAGCCTGAAGATACTGACAAGAATTGATCTCCAGATCAGCCACATCCTATTTTCGTGCAAGTTATTTTCTGTTGCAATCCTTTACTGAATCTTTGTTTTGCTGATAATAGTTTTTCTTTTTTTTCTCTTTCAGGAGCCCCAAACACAGCCGAGTTGAAAATCTGCAGAGTGAACCGTAACTCCGGCAGCTGCAGAGGAGGGGATGAAATCTTCCTCCTCTGCGATAAAGTGCAAAAAGGTGCTTGTGCTGTCTGACATTTGAATACATTACTACAGCTTTTAACTTACACTTTCATACTGCGTTGTCTGTAAATAGAACTCAGACGTGAGTAAGCAGAGATGTGGCTATTGAGCCATATAATTCGGTGAGGCAGAAAACTGTTCACACCCACAGGAAGTCGGGGTCTGTTGCCTCGTTTGAAGATAAACACACAGATGTTTCGTATCAATCAAAAATATTCGTTTTTAGATTGCGTAAAATGCAAAGAGATGTTTTCAAATGATGATTTAGTTTGTGTAAAATCTACCCAAACCATGAATTGTGAATTATCGCATTTTTACTTTTTTCTTTTGTCCTATAGAAGCCACAATCCGCATAAATGAAGCCTTTATGTAAAAGTGAAGTAGGCCAGAAAGTACAGAAAGCCACGGTTTAGCCTTTCCATACAAAATGGAGAACATATAAAAAAGTGGAGAACCTTCTTTAGGATTTATGAAAGGGTAGTAAAAGTCGTAAAAAGCTTGCAGGCCTGTCACATTACACGTACTGATCAGATAAAATAGTACGTTGGCCAAGCCGGATGTGGCCCACAAGTCCTGAGCTTGTGGGCCACACGCCTGATCTAGGAAATAAAACGACCGATAACGTTTCTACAGCGGAAGGCGTACGGTCGTGTGACTTGGTATCGGACTTATCTCAAGTGCCCAAAATGAGCTGCCACTGCAGTTTGTTGCAGATGTTCAGTTGTAGTCCTGTCAGTCATGAAATGACTTCTTGAGCGTGGCTGTCTATGGCCCAAAATAACTTTTCTGCAGCATTAAACTTCCGTTTCAAAACCTTCTGGTTTCAGATGACGTCATTTTGCAACTGCAGGGTTTTGTTTCTCTGTTGCTGTAGGGTTAGAGTACAACAAAGCAGTAATACTGTGTCTGAATGAACAAAATATGTTCGGTTTAATCGGTTTAATTATGTACAGGTATAGATGTACGCTACCTGACATTTTTATACCCGTTTGAACTTTTCTACATTTTATTACCATACAAGTTCAAACGTTGGTGCATTTTAATGGGATTTTATGGTATAGACCAACACATAATACCTAGTTGTGAAGTTAGAGAAAAGAACAAATGGTTTTCAAAATCTGAAAAGTCTTGTGCATTTATGAGTTAGTACTGTTTAAAAACACTTTTCACTGCAACTACTGCAGCAAAGACTGCAGCAAAGCTGGTAGATATGCAAGCATTTACCAGCTATTCATATCTAAATCTTGCTGGTTTGCCTTTCCTCCTGCAGAAGACATCGAGGTGCGGTTCTTCCAGGACTCCTGGGAGGGGAAGGGCACGTTCTCTCAGGCTGACGTCCACCGGCAGGTGGCCATTGTCTTCCGGACACCTCCCTATCGCGACACTAACCTCAGCGAGCCCATTAAGGTGAAGATGCAGCTCAGACGGCCCTCTGACCGTGAAGTCAGTGAGCCGATGGACTTTCAGTTCCTACCTGCTGACCCAGGTAATAGACTTCAGTTTTTACTTAAAGGCTCTTGAAAATAATTGATAAAATAATGTAAAGTGTATGAAACCTAACAATTTGCCATTTCGATGATCCCTTTACAGATGAATACAGGCTGACTGAGAAGAGAAAGCGTACAGGAGACATGTTCCAGAGCTTGAAACTGGGATCCATGTTATCAACTGGTATGTTAGGACCTGGATGGCCCTCTTTTTGTAATTATCATTATGCTTACGTTGAAACTCCACTAACAAGCACTTTTTGTAAAATTCTAGTGTCCGTTCCACAAGACAGACAGCGCATAAACCTCACACGGAGACCAGTTGCAGCTAAACTGTCTTCAATGAGCCAAGCAGGTGAGTTAGTCTCATCCACTTATTGTTCGGAGTCGGTTTTATTAATTTGATCAGGGAAGACATAAAACAATGTTGTTAACGTAATAACATATCCTGGATGACGCCATCAGTTGTTGGTGAGCACCTCCTTTGCTTTTGCCGCTCCTCTTTAAATCTGTGTCTATGGCAATATGGTTAATTCCTCTGGGATTTGGGGTCATAGTTCATGTGTCGTTTGAGTTTTTGAGACACTAATCAGCTGCTTTCACTTGGAAAAAATATTACCTTGTTGCCACAGTTGCACATCATAACAATCTTCCAAAAGTTAAAATGTAACTCCACGAATTGAGAGGGAATGCTGATCCACACGTGCCACACCTTTTGTTTTTTAAGGTTTTATTGGCTAGTTAGCTGACAGGAAAGTGGGTAACGAGAGAAGGGGAGGACATGTGGGAAAGGTCACCAAGGCCGGGAATCGAACTTGTGACAGCAGGACTGAGGTCTCCATATGTGGGTTGTGCTTAACCCCTGCACCACCACAGCACACCCAACATGCCACACCTTTAACATAAAAATGATGACCAAAAGTGTACAAAATTTAGGACTAGTATAACCGAGCTTCTCCATAAACATGTCATTCTGGAATGGCTTGGGTCAAAATACATTTATATGGTAAAATGGACCAGACATAAATACATTTTTAAATATTAGTACCAGGACTTTAACACATTCAATCTGATTAATTAACTACATAGATTTTAATGCATTAAAATGTTAACGGAATTTTCTTTGTTTTGCATAGATAAAAAAAAAATCTAGAGCAGGAACCTTTATATTGTTTCTGGTACACCAGTAAATGTGACGAACAACTGACATCCACAAACAGCGACAGACGACAAAGCCTCTTCTCTTAGCCCACTGGGAATAAATTTGTTTTCTTCAAAAACGGTCGGATGACATGCTGGGAACGACTGCTGTTGGGTTAAAATGAGTTAGCCTGTCAGCGAAGCTATTCAAGCCTAAAACATGCTACAGCAGCACAGACGTTCCCAGTGCTAATGTCAGAGTCCACAGTCCACATTTCTAAAGAAGTTCCATGAATGGTCAGGACCACCTAGATAACAGATTAGAAACAACAAATGTCTTTATTGTATGTTTGTTAGCCCGTTAATAAATAGACATACTGGCCCTGTAATTTACCACCAAAAAGTGTTTTTGAATTAAAACTTTCTTTTCTCAATATGGTTTTTGATTAAAATGCAATTAATTGCAATGAATTAATTATAGACCCTGCAGTTAATTCAGTAAAAAATATGAATTGAGTCCCACCACTCATAAATTTGAATTTACTTCATAAGGGACAATGCACAATGAAGGTTGCCCTTAGCAAAAAGGTTATTTCTCATCGTTTGATAGTGGAAAAATAAAGAAAAACACACACATAGACAAACACATAATTAACAGCAAATTACAAGGAATGGTTAATAGTGGTACAGATGACTAATTTTAAAAAGCAATATTATAAAAAATATTAAAACATTTCATTCAAAGATATAAATTTAAAACATAAATTCAGCTTTGAGTATTCAGCAGCCACTGTTTAAATTATTTTCTAAAACTGTTCACTGACATGTTTGTATTAGTGGATATAACGAGGCCTCAAAGTTGATGTTTATAGAAACTTCTCTTTGAATACCTTGCCAAGCACTGCATTTTCCAGTACCTGACATTAATCTGTGAAGTATTACTAGTCCTTGCATTGAATTGGTTTTCAGACAGGAATCTGATGATGTTTTTTCTTCCAGCAGCAGAGGCTGCCCCTTCTGCCAGTGGGTTGAAACCCTTCTCATACAATCAACCAGGACAGCTGTTCTCAGTCCAGCCTAAGGTTGAGGCATCTTCGTCCATCTCTACGGCGACTACCAACCAAACCTGGAAGATCATGGAGAGCTTGAAGCTGGGCCCCACCAACCCGGTGCAGACCTTCACGATGAGCTCTGTGTCGGCCCCTTCCTCCTCCACCACCTCCACCGCTGTCAACAACGAGTACTCCACTATCAACCTGCCGGACCTTCACGAGTTCTTCCCCAACATTTCCTCCCCCATGGCCGAGGAGTCTGCGGCTCCTCAGGGAAGCGCTGCCGCCCCACAGACTGGCAGCACCTTCCCTCTGCAGGACTCCCAGTTCCGGGTAGACCCCCCGCTAGTGGACGACGAGATCCCGGACTTCTCCAACTTCACCGACCATCCGGTGCCAGGCACCCTGGACAGCCTCAACATGGATGAATTCGAGGACCTTCTGAACCCGCGCCTAATGAGCGAGGGAGGATCTGCTGCATCCATGCTGACATCTTCCCAACAGGGAGTCCTCTCCAGCTCGGCTGCTGCTTCCCAGAACGGCGCCGCATCCCAGAACCTCTCAGATCACATCAACAACCCAGGAAGCACCTACATGAATTACCCCAACAGCATCGCCAACCTGCTCCGGAACGAGGACATGATTGTCCTGGCGTCCAGCAACAACAACAACCAGCAGCCCGCCGTGCTGGATGACTTCGACGTGCTGATGTCTGCCGATGAAGACCGCCTCATCTCCATTTTTAACAGCGGGAGCCAAGCTGGCTTTGTGTCAGGTCACCCAACTTAATTGTTTTTCCAACACAGACGATTTGTAAATCCCTTCCCTAAAGACTCGCTTATTAATGCAGACACAATAAAGGATCCTGGACTGAAAACGGGTCGAAGAGGCTTAAGGTAGCAAAAGTTCTCTCTGTGGACAAACTTATAGAAATACTATTACCAACTGAGAAACCACAGGACTGAACGCATCTTGATTTCATTCAGCTCGTTGAAAACAACCATGGATAATGATTTACCACTAGCAAAGACTGGGCGTGGGTCAACAAAGGTCATCACAGTGGTTTAAATTTGAATTGAAAATACCATGATACTGTGGTATTAACTCAATTGTTTATGTTTAAAATTGTCACCAATCTCCTTACTTTGCAACATTTCTTCTTGACCAGAAGTGTGCAGCAACAGGTGGGGACAGCACCTATTGGAACTTCGGTTTGTTGGAAACATTTTTACAGTAAAAAAAGCCCAAACATTTTAAGTGTTTAAGGTTACCACTGTAGCTGGCCCATGCCTGGTAAAGACGTTTTGACGAATACGTCAGTAAGGTTGTTCTGAATAGAACATGTGTAGCTTGTTTGTTTGTTTGTTTTTGGGGTTTTTTGTACTGTCAATGGAATAATTTTTGGTAGCAAAAATAATTTTCTTCACAGTAGGGCTGGGCGATATGGCTTAAAATTTAATTTGCAATTAAATTTCTTGTTTAATTACAAGAAAATAGACCAAGTATTAGCAGAATAATGACATAATTAAACCAGAACCAAAATTACAAAAAAAGTATTTTTGATGATTGGAAAAAAGGGTTAGAGAGAAAAAAAGAGTTAGAGATGTAACGTGAGCCTTTCAGTGTGTGCAGTTTTCTTCAAAGTGAACAATTTCAAAGTCCTGCTGCTGCTGATAATTTAAAGCCAACGGATTAAAAAAAACAGCAATGCCAAAGTATAACTTTAAAAGATGCTCAATATTCTTCATTGAATGTTTTTATTTTTAATGGCGGAGTTCTCATAAAATGATTACTGCATTCTTTTTATATTACAACTGTACTCTGGTGATACATTATTTTGACTTTATTCTCACATTGATACGACTGTATTCTTGTAATACTTTTTTATCTTATTTTCGGAATTGAAACATTTTTTAAAAATTCTGGCCTAATATTCTAACTTGAAAAAAACGTCATCCCCTTCTCCTACGCTTTACTTTGTGCATAAGTACCAGACCCTCAGCTATCGAGAAACAATTGCTTCCTTGAGGGATGAACTCTGTTTGCCACTCCTTTGCCACTGCTAAAACTACAGGCAAACTATTTGTAATTCTAAAATGGCTCAGAAAAACAACACCGTCATCCACAACTTCTCCTGTTTGCCGATTGGCCCAGTCGAAATTCTTCTGGTGGAATCCAAGTGAATGGAAGGGGGACAATGGAGCGGAAATGCTTAGTAAGACAGTGGCCAGGTTTCTAATATTCCCATCAGAGTTGACCGGAATTCAAAGTCCAAATAAATACAAGCTGTAAAAAATGCTTGTTGAGCAAGATGAGCTGTGGGCATGCTGTCATCATTATGAACTATAGAAAAGGAATGCATTGGTGGGGGAAAAAAATAAGATTTTCTAAAAATTAAATCTTCAAAACCAAAAATGTTATTGATAAAATTTGATTTTATCGCCCAGTCCTACTTCACAGAAGTGTTTGATCTTGCTTTTTGTGCTATAAAATAAACAGGCTGGTACTTCTTAGAATGTAATCTAATCTAGAGGGAAGCCTATGCAAATCCATTGTTGCTTTTATCCAATACCACTTTCAGTTAACTTCAATTTTTAATTAGGGATGCACCGATATGAAAATGCGGTCGATGCCGATATTTATATCACTGCTATAGCTGGTAATTGATACTATATATACGTTTCCCTACCCTTTCAACAACCACACTGCTGACATCATAAATAGCTGTGTTTCCATTGACCGTATTAATTGCACAAATTGGAATTACGAAATAAAATTTGCTTAATAAAAACACAAAAAAAAGTTTTGCACGAGGATGAAGTATCAAAATTAATGTATTTTGCAGAACTGTAATGGAACCACTTTTTTGCATCACCAGTCATGTGATTAACAATGGACGTTAATACTGGAAACCGGACCAGAGGACAGGAAGTAGTAGAGTGATAGTGTGGCATGTTTTTTGTTTTTTTTTAAATGACCTTGAGTAAACACTTTTTTACGTGATTTTTATTTCATTTCATATTTAATAAAAAACCACAATTGCAAATGTTTTATTTTTTACATTAGCGGAATATCTACAAAGTTTTGCGCACACTTGTTATGGAAATGCAGCTATTGTCACATGACTAAACAAATACCACTTAGACAATCCCCTGCCAAAACTTTAATTGTATCAGCCCAGTTTTACTTGCAGAATCGATATGTAAAAAAATAGTGTATCCCTAATTTTTATGCTCACTGAAGGTCTTTAAGTTACCATTTGAATGTGGTAAGAAACCAAATGAAGGTCTATATGTAAATACCATATAAGCGATTTAAGAGTATGCTTACTAAACCGAGGATTTATTCTGGTGAAGTCATGGTTCAGGTTGTTTTTAAGACCCGATAGAACCTGCAGCAAAAACCAGCTTAAGACTTATGTAAAAACTATAAGTAGTAACATGCTTTTTTCAAGTTATTCTACCTTTTTTTTTTTTTTACGTATGGTATTGGATATATTAGATAAAGAGGCAATTTGTTGTAATTAATGACTGTCCCAATTCAAAACACTCTTTGCCAATAAAAACCACAACCGTGTAAAGAAAAAAAGTTCTTAAGATGTGTGTTTTATTTGGAAATAGTGTAATATGCAGTACTTAACACGATTTAAAGCTAAAAAAAGAGAATTTCTTCTAATCAATAAATTCATAACTCAATTCACCTCCTGAAGTCATGCATATAACTCAAACAATCCAGCCAGTCCCTTAAGTGCTTTATTCCTGAATGGAACCTATTCAAAGGTTCCATTCAGGTAGAACTTAGAAAATGTGCCAGTCAAAAGAAATGGAAGAACTTGAGATCCAAACTCGATCAGTTTTGATTACTGCGCAGGTTCACCCAAAGGCCTCGTCTTAAAATCAGTCCGGGAAAAAAGGCACCCAACTAATCTTCCTTATGTTACTTCCAGATTTGTGACTTTGTTGATGATGTGCGAGCGCCTTGGCACACACTCCAGGTCAAACTTGCTCTCATAGATGGTGGGGCAGAGCTTCCAGCAGTTGTTCCGATAGATCCCCAGGTAGGTGTAGACGTCTGGCTTGTAGGAGAGGGGGCATTTGACGCCCGTGGCCCGGATAAAGGAGTCCAGCCGTACTACTTCGCCTTCGTCTGTGAAGTTCTGGTTATAGGCGCAGATCACCTGCTTGCCTTCCGCCTTGGGGTTGTAAGGACTCACTTTGACCAGGGAGATTTTCCCGTCCAAGGCTGCTCTAGCCACGCACTCCCACGCGTGGTCCAGCTTGAAGCCAGAGGCCAAGTGCATGAGCCACTTTCCGGAGAGCACGCCGTGGTTGAGGGCCAGTTCTTTTACAGTCTGGAAGGTGACAGGCCGGGAACTGGCCAGTAGTTTGTCCCAGCTCTCCTGGAGACCAGTCACGTCACCTGTAGACGGACAGTGGTTGGGACCCAGCACGGCTATCCACCCCACGCGACTGACCCCGTTGTCCTCGTCCCCAAACCGGTACACCTGGGAGGGTCTGTTGCTCTCCAGCCAGCCGTCAAACTCGGACCGGGGGGTATTTCTGGAGTCGAAAACGATCCAGGGGTCCATGTCCGCAGCCATGGCCTCGGCGGCGTAGGTGTCTGCGGAAAGGGGGGTCTCCGCCTCACCGTCCGCGGGGGCTTCCTCCTCCATGATGCTGTCAAGTGTGCGCTCGAGACTGATGAACGAAACCTGAGTGGGGAGAGCAGACGCAGTTGCTGAGTGCTACAGTTTAAGTCGGTTTGTTTTACTCGTCCGTACTGCTAATTAGAATTCCACACTCCCAACAATTGCTAAATAGCAACAACGTCCAAACCAACGTTTTCTGGCCAATATACCCCTCCACACCCCGTCAGTTAAGGCTTAGAGAAGAAATAAACATTACCTCTGCCTTCCTGCTGAGACTAGCCCGCTAAGCTAGCCACTTTCGAGCATAAAAACTACTTTTTGAGCAATTTTTAAGGAGCAGCACGTACTAACAAGTAACTTTTAAACGCAACAGGCGTTATAAAATACACACGCAGTCAGTGGAATTAACAAGTCATGAGACGTGGAGCATAAATGTAGTCAGTCTACCTGTTGTAGCTCACGTTGTTAGCCAGTGTGGCTCTTTTTCTGCTCCAGGGAGCAGAGATGTTGTTAAAGTTAGCTTCTGATTTGAAACTTTAATAAAGGGACATTTCTGTGTTTTAATAGGCCTGGAGTTTTGATTGCATCTAATACAATATTTAAAAGGTTTGGCTTTATCAAACTTGGTCTGAAATGTTCTACAGAGCCTTCACGTTTTCTCTCTTAGTAACCTCAAAATGTAATTGTCTAAAAACTCATAATTAAAACTTCCTGTAGAACTTTTATTTGCTCTTTTATGGTGGAAATAGGTTTCCAATAAAAAGCAGCAAGTCATTGTGAACTGTAATAAAAATAATAATTTCCTATATTTTCTGGCCTTTATCCAAAAAGAAGAAAGTCATAAGAAGTTCTGTTTAGTGCAAGCCATGTAGAAGACTCAGTAGGCATGAAGTTAAACAGTGTTGCATGCAAATTGACAGAAATTACTGCAAACAAAACGTAGAGGTGACAGCAGTACGCTGTGAAATAGTGCGAAAAATTGAGAGAAATGCAAAACCGGTGTGACAGATCTAAATATTGTAGTTTTTAAGATTTCATTAGAATCTGTCTATGATGTAGTCTATGTAATACTGAAAACAAAAAGCATTGAAGCAGTTCTCCTTTTAGTTTCACAAATTATGTTGTATTTTTGTGAATCTTTATTCATTAAAGTTGTAACAAACCAGTTTTGACTGTCAAAGCTGGTCAGAAATAGTCTAGAATTATTCAAATTAGCCCTTTAAGCGGATGCGATTCAGATACCAACTTCAGCTTGATGACGCAGCTCTGTTGTAATCAAAATATATGTCCCTTTTCTTTCTCTCTCTTCTTTAAAGAATTATCGTTAAATATTCCTTTAAAATATTTGGTCATTTTCTTTGCTTCATTACAGAATAATAATAATTTAAAAAGTGCTTTATTTTTACCGATAAACATGTTTTATTTATTAGGAGTTTCTGCACAAAAACAACAACTTCGAAAACAAACTGTATAACGGGTTCATTACATTTCTATTATTTATAGCTACCACATTGTAATGTAGAATGTAATTTATTTTTTCAGAGAAAAATGCGGAACAAACTCTGTTTGAGGCTGACGGCGCTGAGACCCTGCGGAACCAAACTGACACGACTGACAACAACGTGCTAACAAGTTAGCCGGGACTGGAGGAGGATTGTATATGGTGTAGGCTTATAATCCCGAGCGTTTTTGTATTTTATTTTACTTTAACAACAAAGTTTATTTAATTATGCCCAGCAAAAAGAAGAAATACAACGCCAGATTCCCTCCGGTGAGTTGAAAGCTTTATATCTACCGGCGTCAGCACTAGCTAACTTTAGCTAACAGTGAAAATGAGATGCTATTTGTTGTAGCTAAACTTGAGGGGCTTCGGGTGTCTTTTATTGCCCAGAAAGCCAAAAAAAAAAAAAAAAGCCAAAGAGCTAGCGGAAAGTATTTGCTAAAGTAGTCAAACTTCTTTACGGTTAAGTCGTAGGTTTCTCTGAATTAAACTAACTAAACTAACTTATGTTTCATGTTTTTATCCAAAGTTAGCTTCCAGGAGTCGTTGTTTTTAGCATGTACAGCTAACCCAGGCTGAATTTTTAGAAATGTCATTATTTGTACGTCTTCTGTGAGTGCATGAGGTGTCATGGTACATCCTGCACATTCTGCTTAAAATCCGTAGTAATTTATCCGCACAGTTTTCTCATTTGAACACTCTGAGTGTTTGCATGGAAATAACATCAGATCTGTCCTTCCAGGCGAGGATTAAGAAGATCATGCAGACAGATGAAGAAATAGGCAAAGTGGCTGCAGCAGTTCCCGTTATAATCTGTATCCTTCTGGCTTAAGGTGTTTGTATGCGAGACATTTGATATTATGCCTCCAAACGTTTTAAGTCTACTTTAAGGAACGCTAATTGGCAGTAAACAACTTTCACGCTGACAGAAAACTGTTTCTCTGCTGATATTACGTGTTGTTGAATGATGACATATTTATTTATTTCGAACAAGTAAAAAGTCAGAAAAAGTAAGAAGAAAACAAAACAACATATAATAATAGTTAAACATAAGAAAAAAGACAAAAGACAACACATCTTTTGTGATGTATATATATATATATACAATATATATGTGGGTATATATATTGTATACCCACAAGTGTACATATTGCCCACATTTGATTATACATATTTGCACATTGGAGTGTAGTTTGTTTACTCATGTTACAATTTCTCCATTTTCTGATCCATCCATTTTCTGAACACCCTTGTCCCTCAGTGGGGTCGGGAGGGGTGCTGGTGCCTATCTCCAGCTAACGTTCCAGGCGTTACAATTTCTACTTTTTCCAAATTATATACATACACAAAATGTATTATTTTGGAGTCTGCATGATGTTTACTGTCTTCAAGATCCTGTATGATAATCCAGGCATACAGATACATTCATTTTTGGCAAAACAACCAAAAGCAAAAAAAAAATTCTGTTCTGTATTTTTTTAATTTACAATCAAGAAATAAAAAAGTCACCCTTTTTTGTTTGTGTTGCTTTTTGAATTGGGTACAAAAAATGGTATATTTTTCAAATTTAGTCCCGGTTAAAGAAATTGAATAAATTACTTTTTATTCATTTTATTTTCACCTTTCTTGTTATGTTAAGGTTATGCCTTCAAAATACATTCGGCTTTTAAAATAGTTTTCCGAACGGCATGATGGGTTGCTTTGTTTTATTATTTTTA